CAAGAAGCCGATACGGCCTTCCTCTCCGTGATTGCCTGTCTTCTGCCAGGCTCAACTAATGTTAGCCACTCTATGAGTCTATCTGTGTCCCTCTTACCTCCAATGCTCAGTTTTACACCATTGATCACCTGCAAAGCTGAGCGATGGAAAAGCCTCCAGTCCACATGGCCTCTGTTCAAGGGGCTTCTCCATCCAATCCTTTTCTCCAGCCACTGATCTGTCCAGAGGAGTTTCCCTTCCCTTGCTGATAGAATTCCAATGTCTCCCTATTGCCCTAAGAGAGAGAAAAGGAGGAGCTTCCCACTGCACCCTGTCAGGGTTCTGCCCACCCCAACCAGCTGCCAGCCACACGCCAAAACTGCCAGACAGCCTCACAGTGCCAACAGTGCCAGGACACTGCGGGTCAACTACCTCCTCTTCCCATGACATTGCTTGGGCCCTTCCTTCATCACACTGTCCTCTACCCTTCAAGACTCAGTGTATGTCCTATCCCTTAGTCCCAGATAGAGAACCTGCAGTTAATACACTGTGCAACATGTGACTTGTTCTGGGTCCAAGGACTTCACAAAGCTCTGAGATTGGCCCCACAATAGCTAACTATCCCCTGGCTGGCTGGTACATGTAAGGTACTTCACATACATGAATTTGTTTAATCTTCCCAGCAATTCTATGATGTGAAACTGTGCCCATTTTATGGATGATAAAACTAAGGTAAGGAAGGAGTAACTGGAGCAAGAACCCTCAGCTATCTGTGACGGAGGCAAGGTTCTAATCTAAATCCATCGAGAGTTGTTTGCTCTCTCCTCCACATCTAGTTGTTTTCAAAAAAAAAAAAAAAGCCTTGATACTGGTAAGATGCCAAAATTGTATAGTATTCTGAAAAAGATGTATTGTTCCAGAAAAAAAAAAGAGCAATAGCTCAAACCTAAGGAAATCCAGCTGAGCATGGGTGACCCCAGCCTGTAATGGTAGCTTCTCAAAGAAGCTGAGATCTGAGAATCACAAAAGTCCGTAAAACTCTCATCTCCAACTAACCACCCAAAAAAAGCCAGGAGTAGAGCTGTGGCTCAAGTGGTAGAGCACTAGCTTTGAGCACAATAGCTCAGGGACAGTGCCGCAAGAACAGCAGCGCACGTGCACACACACACACACACACACACACACACACACACACCATTAAGGAAATCCAAATAAATGACAGACTTTAATTAATAAGTGTTCCATATTGGTTCATTAGTTGTGATAAGTGTAAGGTAAGATGTTAACAGTAAGGAAAAATGGGTGTGCTGTACATTACACTAACTCTGTACTATCTTAGAAACTTTTCTGTGATTCTAAAACTATTCTAAAAATTGCAAGTTTATTAAAAAAAAAAACACTATTCTATGCCAAGCTGGTAATGACAGAATTTCCATTAAGAGCTTCATTCCTTTGGCTTAAGATTGTAACTCCTAATTTGATTGAATCAAGGCTTCAATGTATTCAATAAACTAAATTAGGCTGAATTTTTCTATATATGGTCTAGTTGAATATTTAAGCTTTTTATTCATATTTGTTGGGTTTCAGCTCTGGGTGTACATTTCTTCATGGAAATGTTTTTCATGGAAAAAATTTTTAAGGAGAAGCAAAAGGAGAGAGACATAATGTATGATCGTTTTAAAATATGTGGGGCTAGGGATGTGGCTCAGTGAATGATCACTTGCTGATTGTGTGTGAGGTCCTGGGTTCAAACCCCAGCCCCACAAAATAGAAATTAATAATTAAATGCATCCACACATATTTTTGACACTTTCCTATAAGAGGTGCACATTAATTTTCCTCTCCTTGACTATGACCTCTGTCTTGGATCGTCCACTCTCAAAGGAGTTGGCTGCCATGTTGTAAGGACACTCGAGCCTCCTACGAAGCATGCCAGAGGGTAAGGACTGAGGCCTTCTACCTACAGCCATGTGCGTACAACATCATTTAAGTGAGCTTCTGGTCCCAGGTGAGCGGTCAGATGAGTGCAGCCCCACCCGACATTTTGACCTCTTGAGAGACTGAGAGCTAACAAGCATCCAGAAAAGCCATTTCCAAAGTCTTGACCCACAGAAGCTACATAAGCTGCTGTGTGAGTAATTTTTTTTGTCTTTATGGGCAACTCTTCAATCCACCAGCACCCTACTCCTTCCACAAGGAGAACTGTCTTTCTCTAACCCTTGATCTCAATTTGGGAACTCTTCACTTCCTCTAGTTTTTGGTCAGTGTGTTCCATTTCCGGTTGCTGCTGTCACAAATTATCACAAACTCAATGAGTTCGCACACAAAGTTATCACCTTACAGTTCTGGAGGTCGGACATCCAAAATGGTATCCTTGGGGCTAAAATGAAGGTGCTGGCAAGGCTATTTCTACCTGGAGGCCCCAGAAATCATGTTTTCTTGACTTTTCAAGTTTCTAGAGGATGCCTACATTCCTTTGAGTGTGGCCCCTCCCATCTTCAAAGCCAGCGTCACTCCCGCCTCTGCTTCTATGGCCACATCATCATCATCATCATCCCTGACAATAGCTTCCAGTTCTCTTGCCTCCTTCTCTAATTAGTTGTACAAAAAAAAAAAGAAAAAGGGTTTGGAGGCTCAAGCTCGCCGCTGCGGTCGGAGGTCACGGCGATCAGCTCCCAGGTCGAAGAAGGAAGATGGCGGTGGAATCGCGCGTTACCCAGGAGGAAATCAAGAAGGAGCCTGAGAAGCCAATCGATTGTGAGAAGACTTGCCCGCTGCTGCTGCTGCTGCTGCAGGTGTTCACCACCGCATGGATGAGTTCTCCCGCGGAAATGTGCCGTCCAGCGAGCTCCAGATCTACACCTGGATGGATGCAACCTTGAAAGAACTGACTAGTAAAAGAAGTCAGAAGCTAGAAAGAAGGGTACACACTTCAATTTTGCAATTGTTTTTATGGATCTTAAAAGACCTGGCTATCGAGTGAAGGAGATTGGCAGCACCATGTCTGGCAGACAGGGGACAGACGACCCCATGACACTTCAGTCTTAGAAGTTCCAGATAGGCGATTATTTAGACATGGCCATTACCCCTCTCAACCGAGCACTGCCTCCTTCAGGTCGGATGAGACCTTACTAAATCCTATTTCCTTTCTCGAATTTATTTTTCAGCCACTTATGTAAAATAATATACTTAGATACTTCTTCCTCCCCTGATTTTTGCCATTAAGCCTTTAAATTCTGAAAATTTTTAACACATCTATTTAGGAGTTAGATTTGGATGTACTATAGTATCTTATTAGAAAGTCCACGTTTCAAGCCCTTCTGTAAAATATGAAGAAAAGTGCTCTTAGCATTCCGTGTGAAACTGTATTGTGAAATATATGTGTGCAATAAAAAAGGGTTTGTTTTGACATGTCCATATTTATACACAATGTACCTTGATCAGATACAACTCTTCCATCACCACCCCCCCAAACCCCCTCCAAACCAATCTCCAGGAATCAAGTTCCATTTTCACACTTATAAAGTATTTTGACCATATATACCCTCCCTTCACCCTCCCCCTGACCACTAGTACCTCCATCCCAAACAGGACCTGCTTTACACTTCCTGTCATTTATTTTTCAAGCGTAAGGTAATGGTTCAAAGGAGTTTCACCATGGTATTTCACACATGCATACACAATACTTCAATACCATTGACTACTTACTCTTACTTTCCCCTCCCACATTCAACAGCTTTCAGTGAGTTTAATTTACTATCTTCATTCACAGATGCAATTTAGTAGCGTTCAACTCCAGCACTCTCTTTTTTCTGCCACCCCCCCCCACTTTGGATTCCCTCTAACAGTCTCATGATTACAAATATGTTTCATGTATACATATGTATGTATGCATGTGTATACGGTCCCAGGTGTGTTCATATATATCTTTTAGGTCTTGCATCAAGTGGTGCCTTGCTGCCTAGCAAGCATGAGGCCCTGAATTCAAGTCCCACTACAGCCAAGGAAAAGAAAATGGAAACTCATTATAAAGTTAGCCTATTTGTGTGTTCAATTTAAAGAACCTTTGTGGAGGAGTGTTGAGCCTTAAGTCTGGGTAATAGGATTAACAAATGTGGCAATGGTGACATCTAGTGGCAACCCTTGATAAAGCACCTTCCCAATATTACCAAGAAAACTGCAGAGAAGGCCATATTCATTATTTATTAAACATTTACTGTTGACGAATACCAAGTCAGGTCAGAGATGGCATCCACCCTGTTTTCTCCTCTAGATCCATCCCTCGGAGTGAGTATCTTCATCACATGCACCTCAGCCAAGCCCCACATACAAGTAAAGAAAATGATTCTGGCTGCTTTGCTCTAAGACAAAATACATAAAATGCTAGGATCTAGGAAAGAAATAGTAAAGAAAGAATATGGTCCGTACCACCAAGCTTGGACATGCTGATGGTAGAAACCATAGACTGTTTAACCGGAGAGCCCCACGCACACTTGGTTCCTCTCTAGGAACCACCTGAATTCTTCTGCTTCCTTTTTGGAAGAGATCTCAAATGAGCCCCTCCTGACAATTGTTCCTGAGAACACATGACAAAGCCCATGAGGTCAGGGACCATAGCTCATTTACAGCTTTATCTGCTGCATCTAGAACAGTATCGAGTGATTAGAAAACACTCAATAAATGGTGATTGATTGTTCAACCCTAGGAATATTGCTTGACAGGTGGCAAGTACTCTCATGTGGTGTTTAGAATAGGTGGTATAGCTGATGCGTAATGGTGGAGATGGGCTCGTGGTGGGTGGGTGGGTAGGTAAATGGTTAGGTAGAGAGGTGGGTGCATGGATGGGCACAGTGGTGCCCATCCATGAGTGCGCAAATGAATAGTGAACAGGAGTGAATGGATAATAAGGTTGATATATGCGTAGGTGGATGATTTATAAGATTGAGGGTTAGGGGGTTGTAGCACAGTGGTAGAGTTCTTGTTTAACATGGACAAGGTCCTGGGTTCAATCTGGGAAAAAAAATCATTTGGTTAGATCACTATGGAATTAAGACAAACTAAGTCTAGGTATTGGAAAGGTCATCTCCAGGCCTCCATAATTGGTGCTATCCAGGAGCTTGCTAGAATACAGATTCTCAGGTGGCAACCCAGATCTACTGCAGCAAAATGTGTATTTTCACAAGATCCTCAGCCACTTCAGACACATCACAGTTCAAATAGCCTTGCACTAAGGTATGTGGATATAATGTACTATAAATATAATATAAATGTAAATATATAATTAGCATAATTATGTATTTATAATATCCAATTCTTTATAGCCTACAATTATTTATACCATATAATTATTTGTAACATATAATTATTTACAATAAATCAAATAATCATACAATTTTATAAACTAAAGAAGATAAACATTCACATTACCATTGTTACATTTTCAGTTGCTTGCCATACATCCACCCTAATTTCACTTATATGCCCAAAGCAACAGCCTGGCAGACCTCTTGAGACATTCCAAATATTTCGTACCAGACAATGCTTGATAACAATCAATGGGAATCTTAAAGAGCTCTAGCATATTGTGGAAAGAATATTAATGAGCACAATCTCTGACAAGAAAATTGGTAATCATATCAAAACACGATCTTTGACCAAGTCCAATTACCTGTAAGAATTTATCTTAAGGAAGTGATTAAGCGCATAGACAAAGACTTAGCACAGACAAGAAAAAGGAATTAACTTTTCAATGGATTAAAGATTCAGTGGAGTAAAATAAATTACATATATTCAAACAATACAAAACTTAGCAAGAAAATCAGGTATTGATTTTAAAAAACAATACTTATCACCAGCCAGTAGGTTGATCAAGCAAGATTCATGCATTACACTACAATTAAAAAACAAAACAAACATGAAAAAAAAACTCTATTTGTTTCTTATGAGAGTAGAGAAGGTATGCCTATTTTCTTTGCCTGAACGAAAATCAGAGCAAGTTCATGGGGCATTGGCGTCCTCTTCTATATGAAAAGTACTACAGATGCTCCTGGTCATTGAAAAGAAAATCCAAACTTAGTGCTAAATAGTCCAGCTCTATATATTAATTAACATGCCAATCTTCATTCAAAGTTCAGCTTTCTGCTCCTCCTTCACTTGTTGTTACCACAGCCTGCAGGGCTAGCTCTTAAAGGAAAGGTAGGAATTAACCCTGAAGAATGGAGAGAGAGGAGTCCAGATGGAAGGAACAATCTAAAGAAGGATTCTATGAGATAATGCATGCAAAGGACTATGCAGTGTGTCTGGGGTATAAAAAGAGCCTAAAAAAGGCTGGAGGCATGGTTCAGCAGTAGAGCACCTGCCTGGAGGCCTGAATCCAACCAGTACTGCCAGAGGAAAGAAAGAAAAAGGCAAAAAAAAAGGAAGAAAAAGAGGAAAGAAGGGACAGAGGGAAGGAAGGAAGAAAGGAAGGAAGGAAGGAAGGGAGGGAGGGAGGGAGAAAGGGAGGAAGGGAGGAAGGGAGGGAGGGAGGGAGGGAGAGAGAGAGAAAGGGAAAGAGGGAGAGAGGGAGAGAGGGAAGGGCTGTGTTGTGCCTACATGTATCTGAATGAATCCTGGGTAACAGGCCTTCTGGGCAATTTGAGTAATTTAAGTTCTGGCCTCTAAACTGGGATAAAAGCATAAAGATTTCCACATATATTAACGAGGACATTCATGGTGGATATCTTTTTTTTTTAATGGCCTGAACTCTGGGCCTGGGCACAGTCCCTCAGCTTTTCAGCTCAAGGCTACTGCTCTACCACTTGAGCCACAGTGCCACTTCCAGCTTTTTCTGTTTATGTGGTGCTGAGGAATTGAACCCAGGGCCTCATGCATGCAAGGCAAGCGCTCTACCACTGAGCCACCTTCCCAGCCCTGGATATCAAAGTGAGATAAGCAAAGTGCAGAACCATGTGTTCAGAATACTATCACTTGCTTAAGAAGCAAAAATAGTCTACACACGGAGATTGTCTCTAGAAAGTTCCAGAGACTCTGGTAACTACTATTCCCAGGGAAAGGAACTTTCCCTGGGAAAGGCATGACAGGTAGAGTGAATTATAACTGTATACATATGGATATTTTTTGGTTGTTGTTTGGGGCTTGAACTCTAGGCCTGGGCACTAACCCTCAGCTCTTCAGCTCAAGGCTAGTACTCTACCACTTGTGCCACAGCGCTACTTCCAGCATTTTCTGCTTATGTGGTGCTGGGGAATCGACCCAGGGCCTAATGCATGCGAGGCAAGTGTTCTACCACTGAGCCACCTTCCCAGCCCCTAACTTGGGTATCTTTTGATGGAGATGGGTGAAATGTCATGAGGAGGGAGGGAGGGGAGAAGGGAGAGGGGCACACCTTGTTTTCCGCTCTTCTCATTCCATTGGTGGCTCCAGCATGGCTTCTAGGAAAGCCTTTTTACTCTTCTCTGCTGCTCCTTGATCATCTTTGCCCAAAGCCTGTAGAAACATCCAAGACACACCCTGTCCACTGCAACTAGGCGAACATTTTAGAACTTGCCTAGGCATAGAAAGTGCTGGTTTATCCACCCAGCTGGGAAGCATAAAGTAGCTATAATAAGCACATTCTATTTCTTCTCGAGGAACAAAACACATTCTTTCCCAAGAAACTAGAGGTTCCTGTGCCTTCAAAGACGAGGCTTTACCAATGAGGAGTTCCACAAGAGAGGAGAGAGAGCTATCAATAACCCAGATTAAAATTAATATGTCTCTGCTTACCATGTGAAGTGTTATAGAAACCAGAGAAACTGTCATTGAATAAATATCTAATGAAGTAAAAATTACATTCTCTGCCAACATGCACACAGCTGTGGTTTCGTGCAAATTACATTGTATGTGTCTTATTCCATTTCGTACTCAATTGGGAGACTTTTAGCATATGTATGAGCTCAAGGCTTAATGGAGAAATGTATGTTGCATTCGTTTTGTCAAATAAAACCATTCATCAACAAGTTAAACTACCTCTTTATTCTTTCAAGCAGCTTTCTTGTTCTATCTAAATTATAGCATATATAGAATTGTTTTTTAACTTCGATGGCTCAGCTCAGGGAAGGGGAGGCGCTGGAGGAAGCAAGTTATGTGTGATTGGCAAATGAAAGTAGCTGGGATGGTTCTCGAAGGGCCTTTGCTTGTTTGGTTCTCAGATGTGCTTGATGAATAGAGGGTATGGCCACACTTCTCATCCAGTCCAGCCCACTGGTATTCCACATGGCAATGTAGTCACAGCTTTCCCTAATGAAGGTACTAACAACACACCCGCAGTTCCTCAGCATCTAGATGACGGGTAATAGATAGGATTGCAATATTTGTTTCAGGAACATGAAAAATTTTGATGTCAAGACTAACAATGTCTCTCTTTCTCTCTCTCTCTCTCTCTCTATACACACACACACACACACACACACACACACACACACACACACACCTTTTGCTAACCTGAAATATAGGTACTAATTTAAAAAAAAAAAAACTTGAAGCCAGGTAGCTCACATCTGTAATTCTAGCTACTCGGGAGGCTAAGATCTGAGGATTGAGGTTCAAAGCCAACCAGGACAAAAAAAGTCCATGAGACTCTTACCTATAATTAACCACCAAAAAGCTGTGGTTCAAGTGGTAGAACACCAGCCTTGAGTGAAAAAGCTAAAGGAGACCTGGACATTGGTGGCTCACGCCTGTAATCCTAGCTACTCTGAAGGCTGAGAACTGAGGATTGTGGTTCAAAGCCAGCTCAGGCAGAAAAAAGACTCTTATCACCTGTAAACCACTCAAAAGCCAGTAGTAGAGCTACAGCTCAAGTGGTAGAGTACTAGCCTTGAGCAAAAAAGGGACATTGCCCAGGCCCTGAGTTCAAGCTCCCAGACCAGCATTTAAAATGTTAAGGGAAAGCATGAAGGCCTGAGTTCAGGACTAGCACACACGTGTGCACATACACACACACAGAGTGAGAGCTAGAGAGAGAGAGAGAGAGACCTTGACTGGGAATGTAGCTCAGTGGTAGAGCACTTGCCTGGGTTGAATTACCAACACCGAAAGCAAACAAACTAAAATTTAAAGCAGTTTCTGAGAAACTACAGCGTCCATGGGTATCCACCAAAATCTTATCCAAAATTTCATACTCTCACAAATTCAGCTTCCTTCCTGAAGCCTAGTGCCCTGCCCTGAGCAGTCTGCACAGATGCCCAGAGCAGACACCGGGCTCCTAGGCTCCTTCCTTGCATACTTCAGCGTGAAGATGAAGTCTGGGCCTGCTTCATCCAAGTGTTTCCATAACTATTCAGTATCTAGCAAATAGAGTGGCTGGGTAGTTAAATCTATTGCTTATTAGTATGTCTGCATTAGGGCTAGGAATATGGCTGAGTGGTAGAGGGCTTGCCTTGCATGCATGAGCCCTGGGTTCAGTTCCTCAGTACCACATACACAGAAAAAGCCAGAAGTGGTGCTGTGACTCAAGTGGTAGAATGCTAGCCTTGAGCAAAAGAAGCTCAGGAACAGCGCCCAGACCCTGAGTTCAAGCCGCAAGACTGCAAAAAAAAAAAAAAAAAAGAGTTTTTGCACTAATTAAATAACATATCCAGAATGATGGCCCTGCTTGGGTTTTAGTTTGGGAGATTTTGTTTATGTTGTTTTGGTGAGTTTTTGGTTTGGTGTGTGAAGGATCTTGGCTGTGTAATCAGGCTGGTCTCAAACTTGTGGTAGTCTTCCTACCTCTCTGCCTCCAGAATTCTGGAATGATCAGTGTACACCTCCACACTTGGGTCTCTGCTTATTTATAAGCGAGAAAAAAAGTGAAGGTGTGTGTGTATGTGTGTGTGTGTGTGCATGCATGCATGTGTATATGAAATGAAATATATGTATATATACTTTTTTTTGTCAGTCGTGGGGCTTGAACTCTGGGCTTGAGTGCTGTCCCTCAGCTCTTCAGCTCAAGGCTAGCGCTCTACCACTTGAGCCACAGCGCCACTTAGGTTTTCTAGTGATTTATTGGAGCTAAAGAGTTTCACGGACTTTCCTGCCCGGGCTGGCTTTGAACCGAGATCCTCAGATCTCAGCCTCCCGAGTAGCTAGGATTACAGGTGTGAGCCATCGGTGCCCAGCATGAAATGAAATATTTTTATTTTTGCCTCTACTGGCCTGGTCACTGTCCCCAAGCTTTTTCACTCAAAGTTGGCACTCTATCACTTGAGCCATACTTCCACTGCCAGCTTTTGGGTGTTTAGTTGGAGATAAGAGTCTCTGACACAGCCAGACGCTGGTGGTTCATGCCTGTAATCCTAGCTACTCGGGAGGTCGAGATCTGAGGATCGCGGTTCAAAGCCAGCCTGGGCAGGAAAGACCGTGAGACTCTTATCTCCAATAAAACCACTAGAAAACTGGAAGTGGCACTGTGGCCCAAGCAGTAGAGTGCTTGCCTTGAACTGAAGAGCACAGGGACAGCGCCCAAGCCCAGAGTTCAAGCCCCACGACTGACAAAAAAAAATAAAAAAGAGTCTCTGACATTTCTGCTCTTTCTGGCTTCAAACCATGATCCTCAGATCTGAGCCTCATGAGTAGCTAAGATTACAGGCATGAGCCATGACACTCAGCTGTGTATGAAACATTATTTCACTTAGTGACACAGCTCTCAAACACCTAAACCATCTCCCACTTTAGTCCATAAAGGTCCCTAATTTAATGATAATATTCAACTGAGCTTTTTAAACACTTTTTGTGGTTGTTATTAGTTGTAGGGCTTGAACTCAGGGCCTGGGCACTGTCCCTGAGCTTCTGTGCTCCAGGCTAGCACTCTACCACTTTGAACCACAGTGTCACTTCCAGTTTTCTGGTGGTTAATTGGTAATAAAAGTCTCATAGACTTTCCTGCCCAGGCTGACTTTGAACTGTGACCCTCAGATCTAGGACTCCTGAGTGGCACCGGCACCCAGCAAATTAATTTTTAATATGTTTTTACAGTGCTGGTGGTAGGTGAGCCACTCCCTAGCCCTTTAAATTTACAACACATTCAAATCTAAACAATTTCTGAACATGGTAATGTCCAAGCAAATAGATATTCGACTTCCAAATGTTACCTTTGCATTAAAGTTTAACTCACTTGCTGGGCACCAATGACTCCTACCTGTAATCCTAGCTACACAGGAGGCTGAGCTCTGAGGATCACAGTTCAACAGCCAACTCAAAGCAGGGAGTCCATGAGACTCTAATCTCCAATTAACCCAGAAGTGGCTCAAGTGGTAGAGTGCCAGCTTTGAAATAAAAGATAAAAAAATAAAAATCTCAGGGCAGTGCCCAGGCCCTTAGTTCAGTACTGGCACCGAAAAAGATGATGATGATGATAGCAATAATAAATAAAATAATAACTCACTTCACTGAAGTCTGCATTACACTACATAAAATTCCAGGAACGGTGGATACTCCATCCTACCGACCCATTTTCCAGATGAAGAAGTGAGATTCCTGTTTTGCCTTCCCTTTCCCAGCCCCAACCAGGCATCCGGCCACCATTTAGCACAACAGCCTGGTAGGGGAGAAGGGAAGAGAGGCTGGGACAGGTTGTGTAAATCTCCAAGTCACCCGCCCTTGCTGAAGAGCCCAGTACTCTGGAAATCCATTGAACTGGGGGAGTGACCGGCCAGACAGGCTGGTGAACGCGAGGTGAACCAGCCTCAGGGCGCGGCCCAGACTGTTGGCAACGGTGCACAGCACTTGGGGTGGCACGGTGGGGGGAGGGGGTCCTCCACGTTGGACGTCTCCCTCCTCCCTTCCTGGGGCTTTACTTGGCGCTTACTCACACATGAATCGCTTCTGTCTCTCCCACCTGGCTGAGATCACAGGTTGCCGGGTGGCAAGGAGAAAAGCAGACAGGGGTTCCAGCCAGGAAGTGGAGTCTCTCTTGGGGCGCCTTGGGGCGCGCTGGGGCTGTGGGCGATGAGTGTCCCTCCTCCACCCTCCACCTCCTCCAGCCCAGAGGCTACTTCTTTTTCTTCCTCCCCCTCCCCGCCCCGGCCTGCAGCCTGCGCCGCGCCTCCCTTCCCACGCAGCAAGACCAAGCAGGCCCGGGGCTGGGCGTGCCCTCGCCTGCCTGCCTGCCTGCCTGCCCCGGCGGGCGCGCGCTGGCCTCCCCGGGTCTGGCTGCCAGGGGCGGAGACCGTGCACCCGGGCTGAGCTTCGTCATCGCTCACTGTGATACCAGAAACGGTATTCGAGGTTATCGAGACCGAAATCGGTCGCAGGCCGACCCAACTCCCCCACCCCACTGTCGGTGGGAGATCTGTGCGCCCATACACACACCCAACACACCCAACACACACACAACACAACACACACACAACACACACACACACCTGGATTGGATCGGCCCCGGGTGTCCACGGCCTGGAGCTTCCAAGTGTCCACGTGCCCCTCTGCAAAGAAAAGGACTCCACCTGCCCGGTGTAGGAAAGGAGGTGGGTACTTGGACTGGGGATGGGGATGGAGAGGGGGTCCGGCCAGCCGGGAGAGGGGTACCGCACACCACGTCCCCACACTTTCTGCAGCCTTTTGCAATGCAATCGCAGTTGATATGGGAAATAATCTCTCCGGTGTTGTCTACCTTCTCTCACCCGGCCAAAAATTTAAAAAACTAAGTAAGTTGGGTTTCCCTTCCAGCCGGCCAGTACCTTTTCTGTCCACCTAACAACCTCCCCAAGGCCCTGGCGACTCTGGCTAAAACCAAACGGAGCAGCTGCGATCTCGGATCCCAAGCACCCTGCCACCTTGCAGGGGGGAGCCTTGGGGGGTATTTCTCCCACCTTCCCCTCCCTCCTCTCTTTCTGGAACTTCCCGGGAAGGAAGCTGGCTGCTTATTAGGCTCAACTCTTCTTGTTTTGGTCTCCCTAAGTGTGTTTTCCCCCCAGCTGAAGTTTGCTGTTTCTCTTCAACAAGTAACAGCTTGCTGGGGAGGAAAAGTTCGCCCCAGCGCAGGCACAGAATGATAGGAAAGAATGTGATATCTGGTTTGGGGTGGAATTTTATTGTAAGAGAATCATTGTCAGTTTCCTACAGAAGTGTTTTGATGTCTGGGATTAGGTAAGGAGAGGACCTCCTGTCTGGTAACCCATGATACAATCAACAAAGGAGTCATCTTAAAAGAAAGGTTGCTTAGGCCTTTATTTACATACAAAATATTCTGGGGGGGGGGGGGAATGACATCTCAGATGATCTTAGAGATCTTAAAGTTCTTCAAAAACAAGCTCAGAGATGTAACTATGAAGGGAATATAGTAATATATTGTAATATATTATGTTATATATAATAATTTTTAAAAAGTGCTGTTAGAAATGATTTGCGTGATTTGCGTGGATAGAAGCTACAGAGTTTCACTGGTGTGGTTTTTGAACAGTGCTTTTATATTGGTCTTGCAAAATTAGCCAAGCGATTTCCCAAAGTGCTGGATACATTTGGAGTAAGAAAGACATAGATTAATGTCTCAGCTCCACCATCAAACTGTGGCAAGTAACCTGACCTTCCAGAGCCTCAGTTTCCTCATTTGTAAGTGGAGAGGAAGGAGACGGTAAAGGAGCTAAGAGGACAGGAAATGCAGAGAACAGCACCTAGAAATCACCAATGGCAATCTGTTAGGAAGCTGTGCAAGTGGCCACCCTGCAGGATCTGTCCAATTATTAAAAAAAAAAAAAAAGCAGAAGGAGATACTTCTGAACACTTGAATTTGGTTCAGTCACATTAAATCTATCCCAAAGGGTTCACGGCCATCAACTTATAGATTAGCATTGATCAGTTTATCTATTTAGTGTATTTGAGATTCTCTGACTGCTTTCAAATGTGCAGTTTCAAAAGAACACCAACCTGGTATGACACGGGTATTTCAGTTCTTAACTATTACAAAATAATGTTCCTGGTCAGGTATGGTGGGCATGCTTGTATTCCCAGCTACTTGGGAAGCAAAGGTAGGAGGATCTCCATCCAAGAACAACTGGGCAAAAGTATAAGACCCTGTCAATAAAGAGAAGGAAGGAAGGGTGGGAGGGAGGAAGGCAGGGAAGGAGGAAGGAAGGCAGGGAGGGAGGGAGGACGGGAGGGAAGGAGGGAAGGAGGGAGGGGAGAAAAAAGTTTTAATTAAAAGCAAAATGTCTGGGGTGCACGGCTCAAGTGGTGGAGCTCATGAAAGTCTGAGTTCACCCCTCCCCCCCACCCAATAACACCAAAAAACAATGTCCCTCAGGGGTTATCATAATACCACTTTGGTCATGATTTACTGGATTGAAGGCACCTGAACTCTGGAGCGTATTTTTTTCCCTTGGCTGTTATGATTCAGTGTGAGTCACCATAGCTCCTAGCACCGGGAGTCAGCTGGAAACAGAGTCACTGAGTACAGCGCACAGCCCTCTTGAAGAGAATCTTCAAGATACCCACAGTTAGGGCAGAACACACTGCCTTCCTTAGTGCAGGCCTTTGTGAAAAACATAGGCTCCTCATAAGCCACCTGAGTATAAGGGAAAGATCCGTGTGGTCATCTGAATGGTTTTTATTTTAAATCTTTCAAACAGCCTAGATCAGTAATATTGTTTTCTGTTTCAAAGAAAATACATCTCAAGTTCTTTTTAAGTTCTGGTAAGTTTTGGCTTCTAGTGTTCCTATAACCACTTCCCCCCTCTCCCTCCAAAAAGAAGCATGTCAGTTTGGCTACAGCCATTTTTCTCTGTGGCTCCTCCAGTAAGTAGACAAATAGAGGTTTGAAGTTCCCACCCCCATCTGTACTTTGAAGACTTAAGTTTTCTAGGTCTGTCTTACCCTGGCTTGTTTTTTGTTTTGTGTTTCTTTAACTTGGTTGTGCTTGAGTTTGAGCCCAGAGCCTCGAATTTCCTAGGCAGGAACTCTGCCCCTTGAGCCACATTTCCACTTCCAGATTTTTTGCTGGTTAATTGGAGATAAGAGTCTTTCGGCTTTGTCTGCCCAAGTTGGTTCTAAACCTCAAGCCTCTGATCTCAGCCTCCTGAGTAGTGAAGATTATAGGCATGAGCCACCAGCTCCTGGATAAAATCAACTTTGTTGAGGTATGATTTACATATAACAAAATTCACTGAACTATGTATATTTAAAATCTGTGCGTTTTTATTATACACAAGACATATCTCCATAAAGTTGATCATTTTAATGTATCATGGAACACTCTCAGTATTTACTGCCTCTGGTTCGAATAATTCAAAGAAGACCAGAAAAGGCCAGTAGAAAGGGAAAGTGAATGTGGGTGTGCCTGAAAGATAAAGGACATTTACAGTCAAGTGGTCTTGGATGTGTGGCACTGAATGGAAAGATAAAATACACACATTTACAGGGTTTGAGACGAGTTTTACAAGGCTTTTTGTCTTTATCATTAAGCTTCCTGAATTTGATACCTGGGCACCAGGAATCTGGCAAGAGTTTGTTGGAAGAAGAAACTTAAAATGAAAAATAAAAACAAAAGTATGCTTGTCCTTCAGGATCTACTGACCCAGTCGGTTGCATCCCAACCCCAAAAGAGGCCTTCCCTCGCTATAATGCTAGCATCCGGTGACTTGGCCTCTGCTTCCTGGGAGCTCGTGGTCCGAGTGGACCACCCAAATGAAGAGGAACAGACTGACATCACACTGAGAGTGTCCGGAGACCTGCACATCGGGGGAGTGATGCTCAAGTTGGTGGACCAGATCAGTGAGTTACTGCTTCTGAGTGGCTGCTGTGTGTATGTAGCCCTCTGGTATATCACTGCTACCTGGCTAGCGAAGGCTGCCTGAGCATTCACATGTTTCTGGCCACTCAGAGAGTGTGCTTGTCCTTCCCCTACACCCCACCCCCCAGGTCTTCTCAGAAAGAGAAAGGAGAATGGAAGGGCCTAGAGCCTTTTGTGTCTGTGTGTACATGCCCACATACACACGTCTGTTTCTGTACTAGGGCTTGAACTCAAAGCTTGGGTGCCATTCCTTGAGCTTTCTGCTCAAGACTGGTTGCTCTGCCTCTTGAGCCACACTACCATTTCTGGCATTTTGCTGGTTACTTGGAGATAAGAATCTCAAAGGCTTTTCTGCCCCAGTTAGCTCTGAAACACAATCCTTAGATCTCAGCTTCCTGAATAGCTGGGATTATAGGACCATCACCCAGCTAAGAGCTTGAAACTACACTGAACAACATTTGTCAAAACATGATTCTTGAACAAGGCATGGTGGTATATATATATCAATGATCACAGGACTGCGGAGACCGAGGCAGGAGAATCCTGAGTTCAAAGCCAGCCTGGGCTGGGCTGCTTCTTGTCTCAAAAAAGAAAAAGAAAGGCAACACGGAGTCTTTGGTGGCATACTAAATCTCCCAAGTATGTATGTACATACGAAGCTGTATTTCCACATGACCCAGTCCACCAATAACATGCCACATGATTTCAGGTGATGAGGAATTAAACTACTGTGGTCATGCTGCCACAATTTATTTTCAGCTCTGACAAATAGTAGAATATGTAACAATTGTCTTTTTTTTGGGGGGGGGTCAGTCATGGGGCTTGAACTCTGGGCCTGGGTGCTGTCCCTCAGCTCTTCAGCTCAAGGCTGGCACTCTACTACTTGAGCCACAGCGCCACTTCCAGTTTCCTGGTGGTTTATTGGGGATAAGGGTTTCGTGGCCTTTCCTGTCTGGGCGGGCTTTGAACCAAGATTCTCAGACCTCAGTCTCCTGAGTAGCTACAGGGGTGAGCCACCAGCATTGGGCTAACAATTGTCTGGCAAACATTTCAGTTGTGGATTTCATTAGTCCATTTTATTAGTCTAGCCAAACAGGGTGACTACTGTTAACGCTTGGTTGTTCAGTGCTAGTAATCTTCTGCTAATGCATTTTAGTTGATGCCTTTTTTAATTTTTATAGTTATTGTAAAGGTGATATACTGAACAGTTACAGTTACATAAGTCAGGTAAAGAGTACATTGCTTTTTGGACAAAGTCACTCCTCCCCCTCACTCTCTCCCGGCTAACGCTTTATTTATTTATTTGTTTTCCAGTCCTGGGGCTCAAACTCTGGATGTCCCTGAGCACCCTTTTTGCTCGAGGCTAGGGCTCTACCACTTAGTCACAGTGCCACTTCCAGCTTACCCCAGGGTTAAGATAAGAGATTAGAGATAAGAGTCTCACAGGCTTTCCTTCCCCCAGCTGGCTACAAACCACCATCCTCAGATCTCAGCCTCCTGAGTAGCTAGGGTTACAGGTGTGAGCCACTGGGGCTGCCCAGCTCTGCTAATGCATTTTATAACATAGAAATGTTCCTGAGAAGACAGCTATCATATGATCATGTGCTACTGCCCGTTTCTAAGCAAAGAGAAGTCTGCAGGTCATACTCTTCACAGTCAGAAGTCACCATGATGGACTCCACATTTAAGGGTGCATTGTTTTCTCTGTATTTCTTTTAACTTTTATTTAAGACCTGGGATATGGCTTTGCATTTTTACAGAGATAAAAATCTGTTTTACAAGTCTTTCTGCAGTGTGATTTGCATACAGAAAAGTGTACTGATCTCAAGGGTCCGGTTCAATGAGTTGTGGGTCATGTAATCATCACGAAGATCAAGAAATTGTTCCCCTTCCCAAGCCCCACCCAGTCACAGTGAGCCCAAGGGCGAACACTCTCCTGCCCTCTAACGCCAGTGGCTTGGTTCTGGACTTCTTGCAAATGGAATTGTACAGGATACACTCTTACACATCTGCTTTCTTTCACTCAACATGATATATGAGATATTTACTCAGATTCTTTTTTTTTTTTTTTGCTTATGTGGTGCTGAGGAATCGAACCCAGTGCCTCATGCATGCAAGGCAAGCGCTCTATCACTGAGCCACCTTCCCAGTCCCTTACCCAGATTCTTGTACATCGTTTGGAATCATTTCATCTTATAGCTGTATAATATTTTTTTTGCATGACTCTGATGTAATATATCCATTGATGGAATTCTGAGTCATCTCCATCTTCAGATCCCATAGATGTGAGCATATACAATTATTGTCTTTCTGTGGACATTCCTGCTGGGTATTTTTGTTACTGTTGTTACTAAGGGTGACCACTCTCCTGGCTTCTAAGGCCATAGGCATGCTTCCACTGAGATATCGCTAGAATTGAGCATCACAGAAAAGTGAAATGTCAGTCTTACAGAATTTCTGTGTGAACACTGATGCTTCTTGCCATTCAACAGTGTCAGGATACATTTCTATAAGAGAAAGGAGATGGATTCAACAAAGCCAAATGCTTCACCAGATCTCCTTTAACACTCTAAGAGTATTTGTTTTAGAGAAATAAAGCTTTAAGAAAAATTAATATGATTTCCAAAAAGCATGGAAGACACGAGCTAAGTTAAGAAGTTGGGAAATCAGACAGGTGAGATGGAGAAGTTTGAGTAAGGACATAGCTTAGTTTCCTAGTCATGACAAAATCCTAAGATTTAGTGAATCGACACTTGATTCTGCACATACAGAAATGAGGCCACAGAGTAACAATGGTTTCTGGGCTGTTTCTTTGCTCTCCTGGTCTGACATCCCAAACTCTGTGGGCACTGAGTTCTTCTTTATGCTCTCTTCAATCCCCTCAACTACTCCTGCTTTATAGGCATGCACTAGGTAGGCTTTTTCTTCTTTTGGACCTTTGGCTTAGGTTTTTATTCTCTAAGTCAATACTTTTTGCCTACAAATAAAAATCACAAGAAAAAGTCATCTAAAAGAGACATTCTTGGTTAAGCATCCTAGATGGTAATCTCCAAGCTCTTAGGACATACTTTACTCTTGGTTTTGACAATCTTTTGCCTTCTTCTCCAATCATTATTTTTAAATTGAACTCAAGGCTTGGGATCTGTCTGGTATTTTTCCCTTCAAGGTTAGTGCTTTACCACATGAATCACAGCTCCTTTTCTAGATTTTTTTTTGGTAGTTAATAGGAGATAATTGAACCATGATCCTCAGATCTCACCCTTCCGAGTAGCTAGGATTACCCAATGAAGTTTTAGTCAAAGCCATCAGTGTCAATACATCCTAAGAACAGGGACATTCTCAACATCATCACAGCACAACCACTGAAGTCAGGGATTTTTTTAATTAATAAGTTTTTTTTGGTGAAAATACCATACAGAGGGGTTACAATTACATGAGCAAGGTAATGAGTACATTTCTTATCAAGCATTGTTGCCTCTTTACTTTGTTTTTCCTCTACCATCCCTGCCCTCCCATCTCCCCCACCTCCCCGCCAAAGTTGTAAAGTTTCGTTTTTTGATATAACATCTTATACATCTCATTGTTGCAATGGGTCCACCTGTATCCCTATTTAAACAATTTGTTTTTTCCCTTCCCCTCCACAAATTACACCAACATCAAATACAGTGAAAACAGGGGTTATACCATGGGGGAGGGGACATACAAAGCAACAAAGAAATCATCTTATAAATATGTTAGAAACAATTGCAAGAAAGAGAAACCATTTGAGTCCTTATCTTGGGGTTCATTTTGCCTAACATCAATTTATCTGACTGTTTCTGCTTGTCTCAGACATATACTAGTTATTGCAAATAAGGGAAACCATGGGACCTATGTTTCTTTGGGCCTGGCTTGCTTATTTCCCTTACTGTAATTTTTTCCAAGTCTTTCCATTTCCTAACAAATCAGTGGCACAGAAATTTTTAGGAAAAAGAACTTGCACATTCATCATAAACAACAGTTATGTTCTAGCCAGGTGCCAAAGGATCACACCTATAATCCTAGCTACTCAAAAGGCTGAGATCTGAGGTTAGAGATTTGAAGCTAGCCTGGGCAGAAAAGTCTGTGGGGCTCTTATCTCCAATTAACCACAAAAAGCTTAGAGTAGAGATGTGGCTCAAGTGATAGAATGCAAGCTTTCAGTGGAAAAGCTAAGGGATAATGCCCAGGCCCTGAGTTCAAGCCCTAGTACCAACACACATACACACACACAAACACGCACATACAAAGTTATGTAAGGCTCCTGCCACACTGCTTCATTAAACAATATAAGGTTCACACTTTGATTTCTCCCACTTTGTCTTGGAGACACTGGAGAGAAGCCGGGGACAGTTGAGCTTTGATCTCTGCAGGAAGATAGTAGCTGAAGACCTGTGTTCAGTTCAGGATTTATATGCCAGGACACAGACTCTGAGCTGCCTAGACCCTCCATGCACAGCATTCTATCTGATATGTGGGTTTTCCATTTTTTTCCAGACATAGCCCAAGACTGGTCAGACTTTGCTCTCTGGTGGGAACAGAAGAACTGCTGGCTCCTGAAAACCCACTGGACTCTGGACAAGTGTGGCGTGCAGGCAGACGCCAAGCTTCTCTTCACCCCTCAGCATAAGATGCTACGCCTCCACCTGCCCAATGGGAAGACCGTGAGGCTGCGCGTCAGCTTCTCTGCCGTGGTGTTCAAGGCTGTGGGTGACATCTGTAAAGCCCTGAGTGAGTACCCCGGAGGGCTCCAGAGCCCCTGAGACTGTCCCCAAGGAAGACAGGACAGTGACCTGTACTTTTTGCCTGCTTCAGTAGGAGGCACAACATCCAAGCCCAGTGAAGTGGAACAAAACCACATGAATCTTGATTGGCTGAAAGTTGAGGTGTGGCTCAGGTGGTAGAGCCAGCCTTGAGCAACAACAACAAAAAAAAAAAGCCAAAGGAGATTGAGAGGCCAGGAGTTCAAGCCCCAGTACTGGCACAAATAAAACCTTAATGGCACAGGACAGATTCATTCCTAACAAGCTGAAGACTATTTCAAAAGACATTTGCAAGTACAGCCATTAAAATTGATACTTTTCCCTCAATTCATTTCTCCATATATATTTTTATCATTCTTATTTAAGGAAAGGTGGAGGTTTTTGACTCCATCACCAAAGGACTGGTGAGTCTCTACTGTCTTGGAGATGGCCATGATTCTACATCTTAATTATCTCATTCCCATCCAATTCTAGCAAATAATCTGTTTCCTCAAGTCCCTGGTGCATTTAATTGAGACTGAAAGCCTAATTCTTTATGGGTTGGTATCCCATAAGATGGCAGTCAGCAGTCATTAAGACAACACGTTTGTTTGTGAGACATCATAAAAGGAGAAGATCTTGTGCCAAGACCATGATCTGATTTTAAACTTTTTTAGACCTGTCTATGTATCTTCTCTGGTACCAAAGGCCAAAGTCAACATTTCAGGACATTATCACTACATAACCTCTTCCTAACCTTTCATTCTCTCACTCAACCAGTATTTACTGAGCACCTCATATGTGGCAGGCAGTGTGGGGAATGGTGGAGAGGCTTAGCGGTAAACATCATTGAAGTCCCTGCTTTTGTGGAGCTCCCACGCTAGCAAGCATAGCTAAAGTAACTGATAAATGTGCATAAGAAAGGAATATAGCATAGAGCTGAGCACCATGTTTCAGACCTGTAGATTCACTGTTTGCAGCCAGCCCTACCAAAAGTTTACAAAACCACCTAAACCAATCTAACGCTGTGTGTGGTGGTAATACCTGTCCACCTATGCAGGAAGTGTAAATAGGATTACAATCCAACAAGCTGAAGCCTAAGAATGAGATCTTATGCAAAAAAAAAACAACCAACAGCTTAAAGGGCTGGAGATTGTTCAAGAGGTAGAGCACCTGACTGACAAGCACCAGGCCCTGTGTTCAAACTCTAGTACCACAAAAAAAAAAAGCCAGGACCGCTGGCTCACACCTATAGTCCTAGCTACTCAGGAGGCTGAGATCTGAGGATTGTGGTTCGAAGCCAGCCCAAGCAGGAAAGTACATGAGACTCTTATCTCCAATAAACCACCAGAAAACAGGAACTGGCACGGTAGCTCAAGAAGTAGAGCCTTGAGCTGAAATGCTCAGGGACAGCGCCCAGGCCCAAAGTTCATGACCGACCCCACTCCCATCCCCCCCAAAAAAGAAGAAGAAGATAGAATGTTGAAGGGAGGAGATAGAGAAAAGGTGAAAAGAATGACCAGAATTGAGAACAGGAAATAGGGTAGAAGCAGAACCCATTTCCTGACATCCTGGATCCTGACTTTTGACACAATGTGTGGTTTCACACCAGCTGCCCAAAAACTATTGAGTGAACCAATGGATGAAGCCTCCCACTGCAAACATCATGGGTGTAATTGTGTCCCAATGCACAGCAGGCCAATGACAATCACAAAGACACCTGCTTTCAGTGGCATTCTAATGAAGCTTTGGAAACAAAGCAAGCATTCAATGAAAGGATCTGTTCCACATCCACAGTGGACCAGAACTACATGAACAGCAGTAGACACAGGGCTCTTTGCCCGTTTACATACTCGCAGTTGTTTTAAGGGTTCCTGTTAGCATTTCTATCTGTCCGTCTGTCTATTTGTCGGTCCGTCTGTCTGTCTGCCTGCCTACCTGCCTACCTGCTTGTCTGTCTATCTGTTCCAGGATCTTGTTATGTAGTCCAGACAGCTGGTATACTCACTATATGTAGTCGAATCTGGTCTTAGACTCAAAATTCTCCTGCCTCCACCTTCCAAGTGCTGAGAGTGCAGGTGTGAGCCATGCTGCCAGCCACTCCTTGATATGTCTTTTCATGGATTTTATATCGGAGCGATTGAAGCTAAAGCCAAATCAGATTTATCGCTAAAGCCAAATCAGATTTATCAGAATAGAATTTCCCTGGGAGAACAAATTTCCCAAGCACAGATCTTGGGCCACAGGAGATAACAAGGGTTCTTTTCTTGTTGTTTTGTTATTTTATATTTAATTCTTGAACGCAGGGCTTTGCACTTGCTGGGCAGGCACTCTATCACTTAAGCCATACCTCCAGTCCTTTTTGCTATGTTGTTGGGTTTGTTTGTTTGTTTTTGGCGGGGTGAATTTCACTTTTACTCAGGCCAACCTAGACTTCCATCCCTCTTTTTTTTTTTTTTTTTAAATAAGTTTTTTTATTGTGAAAATACTGTACAGAGAGGTTACAATTACATGAGCAAGGTAATGAGTACATTTCTTTTCAAGCTTTGTTGGCTCCTCCTTTGTTTTTCCCCTACCATCCCTGCCTTCCCATCTCCACAACTACACCCTCCCGCATCCCCCCACCAAAGTTGTAAAATTCATTATTTCGACATAGCATCTTGTATATCTCATTGTCACAATGGGTCCACCTGTATCCCTATTTAAACAATTTGTTTTTTCCCTTCCCCTCCCCAAATTATACCAACCAAATACAATGAAAACAGAGGTTATACCGTGGGGGAGGGACATACAAAGCAACAACAACAACAAAAAATCACCTTATAAATATGTTAGAAACAATAGCAAAAAAGAAAAAAAAACATTTGTGTCCTTATCTTGAGGTTCATTTCGTCTAAAGACCTTGGAGTCAAAGCAGACACTCTGAAAACATTACAGGATGGAATAGGAGAAACCCTATGCCTCCTTGGTACAGGCCGAAATTTTCTTAATAGAGTCCCAGAAACACAACAAATCAAAGAAAGGCTGGACAAATGGAATTGCATGAAATTGCAGAGCTTCTGCATAGCAAAAGACAGAGCTAGCAAGATCAATAGAAAACCCATGAATTGGGAGAAGATCTTCTTCACTAAGCACACAAGGGACAAGGGTCTCAAATCTAAAATATACCTGGGACTCAAAAAATTAAATCCCCCAACAACAAATCCTCAAAGAAACAACTGCCCAATAAATGAGTGGACTAAAGACTTAAAGAGAAACTTCTCTGAAGAGGAAAGAAGAATGGTCAATAGACACATGAAGAAATGCTCAACCTTCCTAGCCATAAAAGAAATACAAATCAAAACAACATTGAGATACCACCTCACCCCAGTTAGAATGGCTATAATCAAGAACTCTAATAACAACAGATGCTGGAGGGGATGTGGCCAGAAGGGAACCCTACTGCATTGTTGGTGGGAGTGTAAACTTGTTCCATTCCTCTTTTTGCACAAAGCATGGATGATAGGCACTGTGGGTCCACCATGCCCAGTTTTTTAGGTTTTTGTTTCTTTTATTAGTTGATATGAGAGTCTTGCAGACTTTTTCCCCAGGCTGTCTTCAAACTATGACCCTCCTCTTCTCAGCCTCCCAGAGAGCTAGGATTACAGATATGAGCACCACACCTTTTTTTTTTTTTTTGTTAGTCGTGGGGTTGAACTCTGAGCCTGGGAGCTGTCCCTGCACTCTTCAGGTCAAGGCTAGAGTTCTACCACGTGAGCCACAGCACCACTTATGGTTTTCTGGTGGTTAGTTGGAGATAAGAGACTCACGGACTTTCCTGCCCCAGCCTGGCTTTGAACTGCAATCCTCAGATCTCAGCCTCCTGAATAGCTAGGATTATACACGTGAGCCACTGGCGCCCGGCTTGTGAATTTTTTTTATTTACTTATTTTTCCACCACACCTAACTTTATGTTTAATTCTTACACTGGAATTACTTTAGTCCTCAACAACCTTGGAATGGTTTGTTTTACGACCTAACAATCAGGTATCTGCTGATTAAAGGGAAAGGCAAACTGCATTGCTAGTCTGTCTCTGCCCTTAGCAGTGTGACCTGATTGGATGAGTGAAGTCAGTATGTGGACTTCTAGGAAAGCTGCCCAGGAGTTACAAAACAGCCACATTCCTTGGCTTTTACCTAGGATCAGAATCCCTCAGTACTGTTAATAGTTATCAGCAGACCTGATCAGAAATTCATACATTGCCTAAAGAGAAGATTAACATAGTTTGGTTTCTCTAGAAGCAGGCCCTGAGATAGGGAGTCAGGTACAAATGGTTTCTTTGGGAGACTGATGACAGGAAAAATGGGTGGAAAAGTGAGATCAGGAACAGCATAGTCTCTCGCCAGCCAAATCACACTGGAGAATCTACAGCATCTGGGGTTCTCACTCTTAGTGGGCAAAGGTGTTTAGATCCACAGAGGAGGATCTTATGCTCTTCCAAATTCCCTGACCAGGGAGCAGCTCAGGCAGTGGCTGGCAGTCAGAGCACGCTCTAGGGGCAGAGAAATGAATAGTGGAGGCCCTCAATGCCATAAGTCTGTGCAGAAGGGAGAGCGGGGCCATGAAGATGTCTGGCCTAAGAGTAAAAAAGCTGTTGGACCAGATGCTAGGGTCTCATGTTTATAATCTTTGCTAGTCAGGAGGCTGAGATCTGAAAGTCAAAGTTTGAAGCCAGCCCTGGCAGAAAAAACCATGAAACTCATATCTGATTAAACACACAGACACACACACACACACACACACACACACACACACACAAGCTGGAATGTGGAAATGTGGCTTAAGTGGTAGAGCACTAGCTAGCCTTGAGCAGAGAAAGTTAGGGACAGTGCCAAGACCCTGAGTTAAAATCCCAGTATTGGCAACAACAATAACAAAAATTGCTTAGGGATATGGAAGGTAAAGAATTGAAGGACCTATGATCCACAAAGCAAAACAGACAGCCTTTTGTGGTTGGCTAGATGGAAGTTTGGGGTTTGGAAGTGAGCCTACTGGGTTTTTTGTTGCTGTTTTTTGTTTTTGTTTTTGTTTTTTTTTAAGCAGCAAGAGAGGGAGAAAAGAGAGAGAAGAAAAGGAAAGGAGAAAGAAAGAAAGGAGAGAGAAGGAAAGGAAAGAAAAAATTGGTGTTATACAGATGATGCTAAAACAACAAAATGCTAAGTGGTTTAGGTGGGAGCAAGTACTTGAAGAAGCATTATTTATACTATCCCTTCCCTGGCAAGCCTTTGACCTTGAACTTTGACCTATGTCTCCATCCCCTGTGTGCCCCACCCTCCACAGGGATCTCTGCTCTCCTTATTTCTTCAAAAAAGAATGCAAACTGTTTCTTCCATTTACCTTTCAGGAACTTCTTGAGACAACAGGTCTCAGGAAAAGGACTCTGGGCCTCAGGAGGAATTTTCTTTTTTCTTCTTCTTTTTTATGGATTCATCTATTTAATCTAGGGAAATAACATCTTGTGAAATTTTCTTCTACTTTTTATTTTTCTTCTCTCTTTAGTTTTTGTTATTTTTGTTTGTTTGTTTTTTAGATATTAGACGCTCAGAGGAACTCTCCTTGTTAAAGCCTTCTGGGGACTATTTTAAGAAGAAAAAGAAAAAAGACAAAAATAACAAGGAACCTGTTATTGAAGATGTTCTAAACTTGGAGAGTTCTTCAACAAGTTCTGGTTCACCAGGTAATAGTTGTTGTTCTGATTTCTGAATGTAGCTTAAAACTCAAGCAGGAAAGTATGTGATACACTTTTATCCAAATAATCATCAAAAAGCCAGAAGTGGAGTTCTGGCTTAAGTGATAAAGCTCCAGCCTTGAGCAAAAGCTTAGCACCAAAGCTTTGAGGTAATTTCTCTCTCTATCTCCCTCCCTCTCCCTTCCTCTCTCTGTCCCTCTTTCTCTCTTTCTCTCTCTCTCTCTCTCTTTCTCTCTCACACACACACACACATTTTTTTAAGACTAGTGAGTTAAGCAAGAAATACCCAGTTCGGTTTACAAATCACAAAAGTTTACTTGAGACTTATATTCAACAGAAAGGCTCCACAACTCATGATTTTAATTGCATATCTTATGTTGCTGCTGAATGCAATATTTTAGCAAAATTGGCCATGAATTGGGGATAAAACAGTGGTATTTAGAAACCAGATGAGTTGAATCTTTTAAACATACTTGCTTCTCTCTTTCTCTCTTTGTGATTCTTTTTTTTTTCCTGATCCTAGGACTTTAACTCAGGGCCCTGAGCTTTTTTTTTTTTTCCAGAGCTGAGGACCAATCTTAAGGCCTTGCACTTGTCAAGTGCTCATCCACTGAACTAAATCCCCTAACCCCCTGAGCTTTTTTGCCCCAAGTCCAGCACTCTACTACTTAAGCAGCAAAGCTCCACTTCTGGCTTTTTGGACTTTTAATGGAGGTAAGAGTCTCACAGACTTTCCTGCCCAGGCTTGGCTTCAAATAGTGATCCTCAAATATCAGCCTCCTGAGTAGCAAAGATTATAGGCATAAGGCACCAGCTACCAGCTGTAATTCTGTCTTGATGTGACTCTTTCCTGAATTCAATTTTTCATTGGGCCTTTAAGAGGGGGTCAGCTAAAAAATTCTGGAGAGACATATCCCTTTCTTTTTTATATCAAAATAATTAAGGTTCTAGCTTGCTTGCAACACTGGTGGCTTTCTTCTTGCACAGTATATTCCAGTGTGAAGAATAAAAGAAGGCTTTGTACTTTAAACAAACAAGAGACAGATAATCTAGCTGCTGAAGTCTTAACATTGGCAGGTGCTGCTGTTTGCTTAAGGAGCCATCTGCAGCCTTGTACAGCTGCTTTGTGCCAGGTCCCCCGTGCTGTCCAGCCTTCTGCTGAAGTCAGAGAACTTGACATGGCTAGGAGGGAAATGGTCTTCAGTGTCTATCTGCATTGAGATTTAGAAGCTTCTAGATCTTTGCACTTCTAAGAGCTGCAGACACAGACAAGATCCCTACCTGTGTAGAACTAACTTCTCATCAGCCTGACACCTATGGTTAGTCTACATAGTACTTCTAAAGTCAAAATTCATTTTGGTGCAAGGAATGGACTCCCCCTCCCATAAAGAGTCCTACTCTATGCAAATGGAAGGATGGCTCAAGTGGAAGAGTGTCCGCCTTGAGTGAAAAAGCCAAGGAAGAGTGCAAAGCCCTAGTTCAAGCCCTGGTACCAGCACTAAAATTAGTTAACATATCCATACACTGAATATTAATTAATATGTATAGTATATAATTACGAATCTGAGTGTTCCTTTACTTGCAGTAAGTCCTGGCTTATACAGTAAGACCATGACTCCCACCTATGACCCCATCAATGGGACACCGGCATCATCCACCATGACATGGTTCAGTGATAGCCCCTTGACAGAGCAAAACTGCAACATCCTGGCCTTCAGCCAGCCTCCTCAGTCACCCGAAGCACTGGCTGACAGGTACCAGCCCCGGACTCTGATCGATAAAGCCAAGCTGAATGCAGGGTAAGGATGGGACTCCATTTTGCTTCTGTCTGACATAGAGAGTTGCCACAGAGATGGGGACTCTTTTAAGTTAATAGGCCTGGAGATTATGCTTAGTTAGCAAAAACCAGAGCTGACTTACAGCCAGGATGTATGCTATATCTTGGTCATTCTTGTTCCCAAAAAGAACCTGAATAGAGCCATGTGTGTGTGTGTGTGTGTGTGTGTGTGTATGTGCACGCACACGTGCGTGCGTGCGTGCCAATGCTGGGAGCTGCAGACACAGACAAGACCTCTACCTTTGTATAACTAACTTCTCATCATCCTGACTCGTATAGTTACTCTACATAGTTCTTTTTAAGTAATGGGGTTTGAACTCAAGGTGCTGTCTCTTAGCTTTTTCACTCAAGGTTAGCACTCTAACACCTGACCCATACCTCTACTTCCAACTTTTTGCTGGTTATTTGAACATAAAAGTCTCATGGACCTTCCTGCCCAGTCTGGCTTTGAACCATGATCCTTAGATCTCAGTCTTCTGAGTAGCTAGGATTACAGGCGTGAGCCACCAACACAGAGCTTCAAGCCACTTTTTGTCCTGTGGTATTATGCCACAGCCATCTCTTTATCATTTTGTTATTGGCTTTTAGTTTCTACCCTTCACCATTACCTGAATTCTAAAATTATAGCATTCAGTATAAGATCCACTAGCCACATGGGACTATTTAAACTTAAATTTGGAACTCACACCAGATGTTGTGGCACACACCTGTAAACCCAGCACATGGAAGACCAAAACAGGAGGCTTTCAAGTTTGAAGACATTCTAAACTATATAATGAGGCAAAAAAATACTTGACATAATAATAACATTCTATGGTTCCTTCTGTCCTTTGGCGGATTATTTTAATGTGTCAAGAAGAATACATAATATTCTTGTTGTCTAATGACCATTTAATGTATGATTTCATTTGCTTATTATCAAACTCACAGCCTTGCATGTATGAAGTGAGCATTCTCCCACTGATCTGTATCCCTGACCTGAGAATGTTCTATTTATTATTATTCTATTTTATCTTAACCTGATATAATTGTATATTCTACATATTCTATACCCTCTTCTATTTCACCTTAAAAACTACCAAACAAGATGAAAATGTAAGATATCATTGTGTGCTTATTAGTTTTTTTTGTTGTTGTTGTTGTTGTTGGATCCGGTCATGGGGCCTGAACTCTGGGCCTGAGCGCTGTCCCTCAGCTCTTCAGCTCAAGGCTAACACTCTACCACTTGAGCCACAGCGCCACTTCCGGCTTTTTTCTTTTTGCTTATGTGGTGCTGAGGAATCGAACCCAGGGCCTTGGGCATGCAAGGCAAGTGCTCTACCACTGAGCCACCTTCCCAGCCCTGCTTACTAGTTTTGATATCATTTAGTCTGCCTTTGATCGAGGATGGCTGGATAGATAGACAGATAGAGATGGATGGATGGATGGATGGATGGATGGATGGATGGATACATGGATACATATATACATATATAATGCTATCTATAACATAACTTAATGGGCTTGTATAAGAACTGATGAGCCAGGCACCGGTGGCTTATGCTTGTAATCCTAACTATTCAGGAGGCTATCTGAGGATCACGGTTCAAAGCCAGTTCAGGCAGGAAAGTCCATGAGACTCTTATCTCTAATTAACCACCAGAAAACAGGAATTGGCACTGTGGCTCAAGTGGTAGAGTGCTTGCCTTGAGCTGAAGAGCTCAGGGATAGCGTCCAGCCCAGGCCTAGAGTTCAAGCCCTACAACCAACCAACCAACAACAACAAAAAAAAAAACTGCTGGACTGGCTTTGAAACCCCACTGTGTCATTCTCTAGTTGGCTGGATTCCTCACGCTCCCTTATGGAACAAGGCATCCAGGAAGATGAGCGATTGCTGCTACGATTTAAATACTACACTTTCTTCGACTTGAATCCTAAAGTAAGAAACTTTTTCTTCTGGTTTTGCTTTATTTCCCCTTTTATCTCTTTCTTAAGGTGGATGCCACGAGCTGTATGTAAAACTGAGTCATTTGCTTATCAAAATTAATGATAACTTGAGTGATCTTTTGGTCTGTACCCATTAGACTAATCTGTGTGCATTGGCCTCTGAGCTTCTACCTTTCTCTTCCAAGCACCCAAGCTAAGCTGTCCCTGAGTTATCAGGAATCTCTCTGGGTCTTTGTGCTCAGTCCAGACACATGTCCTGGCATGTGTCCTGTTGTAAACAGAGTGAAGGGTCCTCTGAACAACTGCAGAACAACCTCATTGCATTGTCCCTGTGCTGACTGTGTGTGTTGATCTTCTCCATTTACTGCAGGCCACTTGTCCGTGAATCTTGCCTTGCCAACCTTTAGTCCAGATTCTTTTCTTGTCCACAGCAGTATTTCTTACTTGATTGTAATTAGTATTATATGATTATATTATAGTAGTATATATTATTATATTAATTATTATAATGACTGATAAACCAAGAATTAAATCAGGTACTGGGACCCAAACTGTAAGACACTAATGTTTTCAAAATTAACATACTGAAATACATAAGAGCGCAGAATGAAACAGTTACACTGAAGTTTAGTAACAAAAGCCTTTTTCAAAGTGGGTAGGGTAATATGTGTTCCTTAAAGAATGGAATCAAGTAAGATTTAGTGGCTGTTCTCATACTTTGATTCTAAGTCAATGAACATTACAGTGTCCTCTATGAAAGGCAACATAGCATTATCTATCAGAACTATGTTTCCAGGAGTTGGGATTTAGAACAGTGGAAGAATACTTGCCTAGCAAGTACAAAGCCCTGAGTTTGGTCCTCAGCACCATAAAAGTATATATGTATACAAGGATAGTTATTGTTACATTATTTGTTGCAGGAAAAGATGGGAAACTGCTTAATGTCTATCAGAAGAGACCTGTCATATCCATACTACATTATTATTAAAAGCAATCCATCTATATGAATGCTCTTCCCTCCCTCTCTTCTTACCTCTTTCTTTCCCTCTCCTCTTTCCTCCTCTCTCCTCCTCTCCTCTCTTCTTCCTGTTTCCTTTCCTCCCTCCCTCTCCATCCTCCTCCTTCTCCTTCTCATTCTTCTTCCTTTCTCTCTCTCTATGTGTCTCAAAGACTCAAGAAGATAGTTTCATGAACATCATGCATGAGGTGTTTTTAGCTGTCTAATCTCGATTGACCTATAATTTATATACTACTGTAAGTATAAAAAGTGTCATTTAATACATGTTTATACACTAGAACAACAACCTTTCCAAAATAGATCCTTCAAATATTTTTGGCCAGTCACCCAACCAGTGTGCCCACCCAAGCCCAGCCATCTGCCTTCTGTCTGAAAGTTTGCCTTGTCTAGAAATTTCCTGCAGATGATCCATACAGGCTGTCATCTCCTGTGTCTGGATTCTTCACTAGGCATGCGTCTGAGGCTCTGTGTGCTTGTCTGTATCAGCGGTGTCCACCCTCTTCTTGTCAAGTAGGACCCCGTTGTATAGCAGGGCCACATTTCATTATTCATCTGCCAGCTTAGTGAGGGACATTGGATTGTTAACAGTTTGGGGCCACCAGGAATAGTGATGCTATACCTGTACTGATATTTGTTTTTGTTTCATTTTGGAAAAAGCTGAGCCAGCCAAAGGTGTTGACTTTGCACCAGCAAAGTCAAAAACAAAAAACAATTTTTAAAAAACCGAAGACTTTTTTAAGAGTCATGATTCCCACCTCCTGAATTCCACCCACTCATTTCTGCACAAGTCTTTCTTACCCCACAGCATTGACAACACTGAGAAGGGTCAACTTGCCCCTTTGAAGAAGCTCCAGAAAATACTAAATGCAGTGGGACACTGTGGCGATGGAAAGATAAAATGTCCACCCAGTTTTCTAAATGAAAATATAGTGCACCTGATTCATAGAAAATGGCCTGGGGCTGGGAAGGTGGCTCAGTGGTAGAGTGCTTGCCTTGCATGCCTGAGGCCCTGGGTTCGATTCCTCAGCACCACATTAACAAAAAGAAAAAAGCCGGAAGTGGCGCTGTGGCTCAAGTGGTAGAGCGCTAGCCTTGAACTGAAGAGCTGAGGGACAGTGCCCAGGCCCAGAGTTCAGGCCCCACAACCAGACCCCCCAAAAAAAGAAAATGGCCTGGAGAGTTCTAGAGTCTTTGTGCTATAAATGTACCCACTACATACATGCACACACACATATGTGCACACACACACATGCATACACTCATACTCAACACTGTCTCTTTCTCTAGTACGACGCTGTCCGGATAAACCAGCTCTATGAACAGGCCAGGTGGGCAGTTCTCCTGGAAGAAATTGACTGCACAGAGGAGGAAATGATGATCTTTGCGGCACTACAGGTACGGGGACTCTATGACAAACCAAGTGCTGATGAAAGTTTTGTATTCTTTATGCTGTTTGCATCTTTGCTGAAATTAATGAACTCAAAGAGAATACATTTACATTGAAAATACTAATCTGCACAGGTGCAAATCCTAGGTAAGGTATCTGTTGTGTAATTCCGTGTGTGTGTGTGTGTGTGTGTGTGTGTGCTTGCGCGCGCACGTGCGCTCTGAGGCTTGAACTCTCATGGCCTATGTGCTATCCCTGAGCTTTTTAGCTCAAAGCTAGCACTGTACCACGTGAGCTACGATTCCACTTCCACTGTTTTCGGTGGTTAATTGGAGATAAGAATGTCAGACTTAGAAGGATTGAGATTGGGGGGGAGGGGGGAGGCTGGGAAGGGATGTGAAGGGTAAACAAAAGGAGGAGGCTGCAATGCTTGGAAAGAAATGTATGCATTATCCTGCCCATGTAATTGTAACCCCTCTGTACAGTATGTTCACAAATTAAATTAAATTAAAAAAAAAAGAATGTCAGACTTTTCTAGGCTAACTTTGAACCACAATTCTCAGATCCCAGCCTCCAGAGGAGCTAGGATTACAAGCTTGAGCCAACAGTGCCCAGTCAGTGATGAGGACAAACCAAGTGTGAACATGACTAAGTGAAGACTTTGTGGACCAAGTGGTCAGGTAGAAATGTCATTGACCTGCCACAGGCAAGGGTCTGCTTTTCAGGAGATGTTGGGGATGCCAGGAGAACTCTCTCCAAAGAAAAGCAAATGGCTTGTGGACCTATTTGTTGTGATAACGTTTCTTAAACATCTCTAATTGTAGTACCACATCAGCAAGCTGTCATTGTCCGCTGACATCCAGGATTGTGCACACGAGTCCGAGGTCGATGAAGTCGAAGCAGCACTGTCTAATTTGGAAGTGACTCTTGAAGGTGGAAAAGCAGACACCACTTTGGTATGAACTCTCCTGTTCACTCAGAATGGTGGCTTTGTTCTGTTGGACAAACATAGATGAGCTTTGTAAAATTAGATAAAAAGGCTATAAGCCAGGCAGCAGTGGCTCATGCCTATCCTAGCTACTCAGGAGGCTGAGATCTGAGGATCGTGATTCAAAGCCAGCCCAGGCAGGAAAGTCTGTAAGATTCTTAGCTCCAATAAACTACTCCAAAAAAAGCCAGATTTGGTGCTGTGACTCAAGTGGTAGAGCACTAGCCTTGAGCACATAGAGGTTCAGGGACAGTACCCAGGTCTTAAGTTCAAACCCCAGGACTAGTCAGGGAGAAAGAGAGAAAGAGAAGAAAGAAAGAAAGAAAGAAAGAAAGAAAGAAAGAAAGAAAGAAAGAAAGAAAGAAAGAAAGAAAGAAAGAAAGAAAGAAAGGGAGGGAGGGAAAGAGGGAGGGAGGGAGAGAAAGAAGAAAGAAAGAGGGAAAGAAAGAAAGAAAGAAAGAAAGAAAGAAAGAAAGAAAGAAAGAAAGAAAGAAAGAAAGAAAGGAAGGAAGGAAGAAAGGAAGGAAGGAAGGAAAGAAAGGGAGGGAGGGAAAGAGGGAGGGAGGGAGAGAAAGAAGAAAGAAAGAGGGAAAGAAGGAATGAGAGAAAGAAAGAGGGGGAGAGAGAAAGAAAGAAATTAGGAGGGAAGGGGCTATTTCATCTGATTTGTAAAAGAGAAAACATGATCTTCAAGTGACAAGCTTAAACTTAGCAAGAACTAATTTTTTCTCAGATTATCTCAGCAAGGGACCATAGGATATTTTCATCACAACTAATAACAGTACTTTGAGGAGGTTTGCTTGCTTGTTTGTCTCTTTGGGGCAGTACTGATATTTGAACTCAGGGCCTCACACTTGCTAGAATAGCTCTCTCCCTCTTGAGTCCTAGCCCTAACCCTAACAATACTTTTTGTATTTTATTTCTTCCTGGGGACAAATTGGAATGGTACTATGAGAAAGACTGCTATGATCTCCACTTCACTAGCATAGAACTTGGAACTGATTCCTTACATCCAGAAAGAACTCTCTTGTCTATGGCATGGAGCTGCTGTAAGAACAAAGAAAATCTATTTACCGGGTCATAGATTTCCACTGGGCAAAGTTATGGAAGTGGGGACCTTTTTCTAGGGTCTTGTGGTTCAGCATTCCTGAACCTTTCTGACTTCAGGAAATAGATAAACAAAAACCCTCCAGTAGAAGATAAAGAAAAATAACTGGTTCATCAAGCCAAGTGTAGTAATGTGTGCTACTCAGGAGGAAGCAGCAGGTGGATGGAAAGTTTGAGGACCAGCCCACCAATATGAAAATTTTAAAAAAATTTAATAGAAAACTTGGGGGGGCAATAGGGGCAATGTTGTGACTCAAGTGGTAGAGTACTTGCTTAAAATGTACAAGATCCTAGCCCAAATGCCACCAAAAAAAAAAAAGCTGATCACCCTTTCTCCTTATCCATAAAATATGGCTGAACAGCAGCATGAGAAATTGGAATTCCCCTCCTGTTTGATTCATTCATTGAGTGACACTCTGATGGTTCATCCATGATAGGCATAATTATTCGTCTAGTCACATTTAAGGTGGGCCCATTGTAACTGGGTCCAACAGTGCTGACAGATAAAAACAAGTCACTACATTCTTCTGTGTTCACTGTAGGTTCTCTTATCATTAAATGCCTTAAAATAGGAAATTGGTTTCATATAAGAACAAATATTTGATTCAAGCTAAATGCCAAGAGCCTATGGAGACACAGCACACAGTGCTCTATCTCAGTGGTCAGAGACATGGGCCCCAGGAAATTGCAGCTACTCTGACCATTAAGTAAATAGAACAAGAAATGGATCCTTCCTATTATACATGGGAAATCCTGTCTTCTTCCTTCAATACTTTTTAATGTGCCACTAAACAATAGACTTCTCAGTTTGAACACAAGCACCAGCCCATTCTCCTTTCCCAGAATGAACTTTGAACAGGCAAGCTCCTGTAGGGTTTAATCAGTGACCTAGATATGGCTGGTTACATTTTTCTTAAAGAAGAATTCTGTTTTTGCATGAAAGTCATCATTTTAAATTCAGACTTTCTGCTTGAATGGTAGAACAGAGGATGTTGGTGGGTTTTTTGTTTTTGTTTTTGTTCTTTTCTTTGGTGTTCATTCTGGGGCTTTAACTCAGAGCCTGGGCACTGCCTCTGAGCTTCTTTTGTTCAAAGCCAATGCTCTACCGCTTGCCACAGCTCCACTTCTGGCTTCTTATGTGATTAATTGGAGATAAGAGTTTCAATGACTCACTGTCTTTGAACCCTGATCCTCAAATCTTACCCTCCCCAGTAGCTAGGATTATAGGCATGTACCTGTATGACACATACAGAAAAATGGAAAACAGGTAAATATACTAATCAGTATTAAATTATCACCTAAGTTACATTCCAAAATTAAGAAACAGAACTTTATACCCCAGAACTCCTGTGTTCCCCGTTCCATCCCAGCCCTCTCCTCCCACAAAAGGAACTAGTAGAAATGTGACCTCTATGACTAAGGAACTGATATTCTCATTTTATTTCATTTGAATTTACTACAATTGCAAAACTAATCTGGGAGGTGGAGACTTATACCTGTAATGCTACCTACTCAAGAGTATGAGATCTAAGGGTCACAGTTCAAAGCCAGCACAGGTAGGAAACTCCCTAAGACTTCTATCTCCAATTAACCACCAAAAAGCTGGAAATTGAACTGTGGGTTGATTGGTAGAGCACTAGCTTTGACTGAAAAAGCTAAGGAACAATATCCAGGCCCCAAGTTCAAACTCCTCACCACCACCATGACCACCACCACCACCACCCCAAAAAAGAAAAAAAACAAGTGCAAAACTACATCCAGTAAGTGGCTACCCTATTGGGTGGTACCAGCATAATATATATGCCCTGTCTATGAAATTTCTGCTTACTAAATGCTATTTTTTTTCTTAGGAGGACATTACTGATATCCCTAAACTTGCAGATAATCTGAAATTATTTAGGTAAGTAATCTTGAAGGAGAAAAGTAGTTCCTCAGAGGAAGAGACCAGTATTGGCTATGATTGCATATTCATTAGGCAAGTTCATGGTTCAATGGAAACACCATGGGCTTCAGCATAAGATAGGCAATGTGAATCCTTGCTTCAACACATACACACACACACACTAGCTAGATGACCTGGCACAAGTGCCAGCCTTGAGTGAAAAAAAGCTAAGGGTTAACACCCAGGCCCTGAGTTCAAGCCATAGTAACAACACACACACACACACAAAGTGTGTCCATTTCAAGTGTGAGAATTCCTGGTCTAGGCCAATTGTTACTGGCACGGGGAGCCAGCTTGGTGTCCAGGTCCTAACACGTACCTGCTGGCTTTGAATGTCTGGGTCTCAGCCATCTCTTAACAAATTCCCTTTCTGTTCTGATGAGTGCCAGAGACTCTGAACTCTCCTTCTAGAAAATAAAGTCCAGCTCTTCAGCAAGGCATTCAGAGACCCACGCTAACCCTATACCCTATCTTTTTTGCTTTTCCTGTTGCTCTTGTACTCTCCTCATGGAAATATTGCAGCTGCACAAACTCCCCCTCCCCCATCTCCATGACTGTACAGGGCGCAGCTCCAGGAAGGTCTTTAAGAAATGTTTAACTCGGCTCCTCTGAATAAGGTGCCCAGCTCTGACACACCCTGCACCCAGCAGGGGCAATCACCACTTCTGAAATGACTATTTCTTGTTCTTCCAAGAAATTCATAACTCATCCTCCATTCTCAGCTAAAATACTGCCCCTTCAGAGAACTCCCTTCTTACCGGCGTTGCCATGTTCCATTGAATTCTATTATTTTGTGTGCTTCTCTCTTTAAATTGTGAGATCCGTAAGGATAGAAGACAGTCTGGTTGTTCAGTAAATCATTTCCCAGCCAGACAACATCTTTACTTCCCCCAAGCCACCTGCCCAACCTCTGGAGCTCAGAATAGACCAGTCATTTATTGGTTAATAATTATTTGCTTTATGGATGAATTAGAAATAGTCTGGAAGACAGGCTTCCAGCCAGGAAGGACACAGAAGGAATCTGAGATTTGGGGATACTCTTAAAGACATCTTATAGGAGAATTTCATTCCTGATGTTAGAGAGAAAGATTTATATACCCAGGACTAAACAAAGACCTTGTTATCTATATCTTTTGATTATAGTTTCAAGATTTCAGACATTTTCCAAAGAATTATATTAATTACAATTCTGAACATGATAGATACTATTTTAGTACAGAAGCTTTCTGATTCTTGGGAACATGAACTCCATCCAATGTTCTTCAAATTTACTTTATAATTTAGTATAATATTCTCCTATAATGCATTGGAGGTTGTTTTGTTTTTGTTTTATTTGGGGGGGGGGTCCAATCATGGGCCTGAACTCTGGGCCTGGGCTCTGTCCCTCAGCTCTTCAGCTCAAGGCTAGCGCTCTACCACTTGAGCCACAGTGCCACTTCC